ACTGTCTAATATTGCAGCATGCTTGCTGGGGGCAGGAACATTATGGATGAACTTAATAATCTGCACAGAAACCCTGGGATGGGGTAACCTTTAATGATCTCTTGGACAGGACTTTCTGGATTCCCAAACAAAGATGTAATTCGCTGGTACCTGCTTGGAACATTCCAAGCATAGACAAAGGCCTAGGCATGTGTGGATGGTCAGAATCATCAAGATTCCCTGTTCCCCATCTTACTTCCTTTACTCCCACACCTAACCCCCACTTCATATCCCTATCTATAATTAGAATTTATGTAATTAGAACCCTCTCTTAATATTCAGCTGTCCAAAATCAAGGCACCCCAAACAAAACACATTCTACAGGTTTATATATACTTTGATTAGCAGAATGATCACTGTCTGTTCCGACTGAACTCTGATGTAGCTAAAACCTTTATTTCTGCTAATATTACGTTAATATACATTGATATTATAGGCAAATAACATGTTCTTATTTATAACGGCACAGACTTTCTTAATTATTGTTTTTAACAACAGCCCACACATCCAATGTTCGATGCCACTCAAACGTGCCCAATGCTGCTTGCCCAGGTGGCCAAATCATGACTTTACCTCTGCAAAAGAATGACACATGAGGAGGGGTTTATACGTACAGTAACTGGTTCAGTATTGATGCAAATGGAGTGACACCAATGCCTCCAGCAACACAGAGGCTAACCTCATAGTTCAAGGCTTCTTCTGAAGGGCTTCCAAAGGGACCATCAATGTAAATTCTGTGGAGAGACAACACAAGTGAATTTTAGCAATTAAGAGATTTGTTGTACATTAATCCGGGAAATAGTTCAAAGTAGTTTGTAAAGTGAAATCACATACAGTGCTGTGTGACCTCACATTATTCAGAAGCTTTGTCCTTTGTAAATGGTAAGAATTTTAGCCATAACACTTTTCTTTCAACAATTTAATTTGATATTTTACGGCATAAGGGCTGAGCCACAACGAAACAAAGTGCCTCTCTACTTTATTATGGGGATGAGCTGGGGTAGATATGAATGACAAACAATACTATGGGAATATAACATTGCCTTCTGACAGTGGCTGTGAACCTGTCATGGAAGGACTGACAGCTTTTTCATCACAATTTCTGTTCTCATTTAAGCTGATGTGAATCCTCATGGTGCCCCAGAGTGGTTGACACAATGTTTGTCTAATGATGCAAAGTCAGCACTCCCCCTCGTCGCCCTGTTGCCTTTGCTGCCATGCTCTACTGGTCTTCTTCCTGGTCCAGCTTCTTCTTTCTTTAGCCATTGGTCAGCCAGCAATGATGGAACTCCCACACATGAGCACACGAGCTACATCATTCTATCACCTAGCTCTTACAGATGCCAGGATTGTACAATTAAAAATAAATTTGTTAGCAGGGAGGGAAATAGGTATTTGGCAGAAGAGACATGAACAGTATGTAAACCTGATAGCATTTTTTTTAAATCTCAGCTTGGTTGCCCTTTTAAGCTGATAAACAAAAATGATCTAAATACTGTACATGTGTATTCTTCCTTGAATCTTGGTGAGCTCTGTGTTTATCATCCAGTTCTGTGCAGTAATCCAATGTGAAACTTGGAGCTTCCTGTAATAAAGACTGGTCACCTCTGCTCTCTCCTTGTGCAGGGTGACTGATCTTGTCTCCGCCCCCTCCTGTAATAAAGACCGGTCACTGCTGCTAATCTTTTTATTCAAAGAATCAAGCAACTATGCCGGTCACTGCTGCTCTCTCTCCTTGTGCAGAGTGACTGGTCTTGTCTCCGCCCCCTCCTGTAATTTTCTGCAGGTAGCTTGTGGTGGGTGGGGTCTGCTGGGCACCTCCCACATCTCTGCTTTCTGCACAGGCTATGTACAACACAGTGATGATGTCACTGCTACTTGTACAAGGAAATTCCTGGGTTTGCAAAGGCATTTGTTGCACATAAAGTAGATTTACAGGTTATAATTTTTGCCTGGAAATCTAATTTAAGTGCTCGTGTACGTGACAGTAAATGGCCGTATAGCGTACAACGCGGCTGTATGTCCTCTGCCAGGAGTGACAAGTGCAGTGTACAGCCACCAGTCAGCCTGTGGAAGTCAATGGTGGTTGTACACATATATACACAAATATATGCAAATCCAAGTGGCTACATGCATACATTTCTGCCGTGAGTGACTGATGCAGTGCATAGCCGCCACAACTCAGCTGGTGTGGTAAGCAGCGGCCACAAGCAAATGTACGTGAAGCTGAGCAGCCACCAGTGCACAGTATGCAACTTCTGGAATGCAGACTGCCTGTTTACGGCCCTGTAGAGTTGCAGCTGCACAGATTCACGTACATTTGCTTTGGCCGTTGCTTACCACACCAGCTGAGTTGTGGCGGCTATGCACTGCATCAGTCACTCACTGCAGAAAAAATACAGACATATTGAATACTAGACAACCATTTACTGCCGTGTGCATGAGCAGCTTTACTGTATGTGGCATTTGCTTTTAAGGACGCTCCAAATGTTACAAATCTTTCCTCCTTAGATCTATTTTTATTAAAAAAACACACACAAAAAACGGGGTAAATCTGCCTGCAGCACATTATCACTGATAACAGATAATGAGATTATGAGTCTAACCAATTTACTATTCATTTATCTCCTAATATCATGATGAATTTAATAAAATAATCTGTTTTTTCAATCAAAGTCTTCCCATCAGAACAAATGATGGGACAAATAAGACTATAATAGGGTTGCTAATCTCTGATCTAGGAAACAGATGAGGATCATATTAGTATATGTGCCTTTGGGAGTCAGAGCTTTATATGTAGATTTACAATGTGTTTGTGTATGAAGCATACACATGATGCTATTCCTGGTCTTTGTACTGGAAGACAGGAGGAAAATGAATTTTCTGTTACCTGTCAACTAATAAGATTCCAGCTGACTGACGTGTTTCTGGACAGTTGAGTAACACAGCGTCAAGCCATAGGGATTGGTCCAAATATAATTATTTTGCCACAATAAACGGGTCTATCCAAAGTTGCCAGCCTAACTTATTTCAAGGGTTATGCACAAATCTCCCTTCATTGGGGCTTTGATTCTGCACCGATGGTTAATCCTGGATTTAAATTCTTTGTGAGCTGAGGTTAGAAGCTCACTCAGTTGCCTGCCAACTTCTTGCCCATGGAGAATCCCCACATCTGTTAAAACTCACCATCGCCATGCCTCTCCCCCCACCCTGTTGCACCGGTGGAGGCAGGGGTGTCCCTAGCTTAATCATAGCATGAGGCAGGGGGGTGCTGGTGGCCACATTCTGGAGGAGGGGGGGTGCTTGATGGGGTGCTGGTGGTACATGCTAATGGTGCTCTGGCTGGCGACCTGGTGGTGCACCATCCAACCACTTGTTGGCATCCTGCCCAGCTCACTGACATCACTGGTTGCCAGGAGTTGGGCAGAACACTGGCCATACCATCCCGCTCAGCTCCGCGCAACCAGTGACATCACTGGCCCTTACACATGTTCCCTGCCAGCTCTTAGCAATCTGGGACACTAAGGCTGGGAAGGGGGCATCCCACATGACCCAAAGAGATACCGCCTGAGGCATCATTATAGGGATGTCCCTGACTGGAGCCCTCAGTAAGTACTTGGTCATTCTGAGTACAGAGGAACATGTGACCTCCTCCCAGGATGCGTTGTTAAGGGATGAGTGGCCAATCATCAGGTACAGATGCTGTCAGATGAGGAGGAGGAATAAGTTAACCCAGTGTAAGCTCCAACAATGGCACAGAGCTTACACAGAATTAGGATTTAGAGCTCTAATGGAAGACAGGGGGAATGTAAGTATCAGCGGATGGGGGTTCTTCATACAAGAGCACCTATCAATTTACTACAAATTGGCAAAAGTGACAAAGTCTCTTTCTCTAGAGGTCCCCCGAGGCTTGATCCTCACATGGCTTCCAATACCAACTCTATGCTGATGACACCCAAATCTATCTCTCTATTCCTCAGCTCAGCCCTTAAGTCTCCTTGCACATCACTAACTTCCTAACTGATATATACAGTACCTGTTCCCTTCAAGATCAGTAGCATAACGATTTGTCCCTTCCTTCATGCCAGGGTGCTTGGCGTAATTCTGGACTCTGGACCTATTCTTTCATCTCCATTGACAATCAATGTGCACATGCTCACTTCCCGGACCTCTCCAGAGTCTCTCCCATCCTCTGGAACTTCCTACCCCAATATGTACAGCTAACTGTGCCTGTAGGGGATCCCAGAAAACGAATTTCTTTACAGAAATATGTTCTCTTTGGAGTTTAGGAGATTAAGGGGGGACATTATTATCTTGTATAAACTGTTCAACGGCGACAGCAACATTAGTAACAAACTATTTACGGTTAGCTTCGTAACAAAGACCAGAGGCCACCACCACAAATTGGTAGAAAAAAAATTCAGTTACAGTTAGAACGGTTAGGGTCTGGAACTCTCTGCCGCAGGAAGTAATTTCAGCGAAGAGTGTGGAATCATTCAAGAAACTCTTGGACGAGTTCCTTGGTGACCAGAACATAAAGGGGTACAAGTACTCTTAAAGAGCAAAATCACACATGGACTCATACACACACCAGATTAAACATAAATGCATACACGCAATAGGTTGGACTTGATGGACTTATGTCTTTATTCAACCTCAAATACTATGTAACTATGTAAGCCTATTCCGCCTCTAAGTAAAAGCTAAACTTTTAATTTCTCCATCAATTTTAATTACAAACTCCTTTTTAAATTGTAAGTTCTCACCATCAGGGCCCTCCTAACCCTCTTGTCCTGACTAGTATTGGAATTGTACTGTCTTCCTTTATATTGTAAAGTGTTGCACAATCCGTAAATTAAAATGTATCTCCTTTATAATAATAGGAGGGCAAATACTGTATGAAATAGGGGGTTTAAGTCAGAGCTCCCCTTTAATACCACCGCTTGTATTTACAAAGAGGCTGCAGTGTCAATAGACTTGTGAAAATAAAAAGAAATAGTACAGTGATTATCATGTGAGAAATAAACAAAATGTGGGATGTGAATATAGAATGTCAGTTTCCTTGACAAGTAGCAATTCCGTCTGTGCCTTCATAAGGGATGACACAAATTTCAATAAGGAACATCTTTGCAGTGGCGGCAATCTGAGGCCTGACAAAGAATATGCTAAATGCACTTTTAAATAGGCAATATGATCAGCATTTCATGTGTCACTCCCACGACAGGGAAAGCAACTAGAGTCCTAGAGAACTCTTATCATTTTGCATAGAAATTACATAAATATAAGTTCTAGAAACTTCACCAAGTCCATAGGAGAGGGCTTGGGCAAAACATATGTGCAAAGAACAAGGCACAAAGTACACTAAAAATTCCAACTTACAGTGACGCTAAACTCAGGAATCAAACCTTTAAAATGCATTCAAGTACCTCAACGTGTTTCTAAACCCTCAGATTGTTTTGCATATATCTACTGCTAGCAAGCATTAGATATATGCAAAAAGTTTTTTTTTTTTTTTTTAAACCCCGCTTTAACAGTGGTTTAAACTTACCTGTGTCTTCCCTGCGCGCTCCGGGCCGAAAATGTGAAAATTCTCAGGCGGGCCGCAAAGGATCTTGGGGCGCGCGCATGCACAGTTCCCATTTTCGACCGGGACCCGAGGAGGGATGCAAGGTAAGTCTATGGACGCGTGCACCCGCATGCAGACACCGTGGGACAGGAAGTGCTAGCAAGACCA